TTTTCAAAATTTTTACTGCTTCTGTTTGGGCTGATCCCCATGGAGGGGGATTCTTTTTTAATAGTTTTGACAATTGTGAAATGTGAAGAGCAATGTTGGGAATAAAGTTTCTGACATAATTGATAATTCCCAAAAATTGTTGAACTTCTTTGACTGTCATATCTCTTTCTGAAAATTTTGGGAGTCTTTCTACAATGTGAGGTTATGGAACATATTTGCCATAAGCAAAATGCATACCAAGAAAATTAACCTCTTTAACTCCGATCTCTGATTTCTTTGATGAAAGCATCACTCCATAATGGTTACAGATTTGATAAAACTGTTGTAGGAGCTTCTTATGACTGTCTTCACTGGGAGAGAAGAGTAATATATCATCAATATAGATCAAAGCACTATGCAAAATTGGTTCAAAGATTCGAACCATGGTTTTCTGAAACAATGAAGGAGAAACTTTCAGACCAAATGGAAGGACTGTCCATTGGTAATGAGCATTTGGGATGTAGAAAGCTGTTTTAGGTCGATCTTTAGGATCTAGGCCAATCTGCCAAAATCCAGATTTAAGATCAAACTTTGAGAAATAGTATGCATCTTTTATGTAGGCATGAAGTGAATATATCTTTGGAAGAGGAAATTTGTCATCCTTTAGAAATATGTTCAAAGAATGAGAAGTCGCCTTTTGTTTCTGACTTGTTCAACTATTTTATTCACATAAAATGCCGTACATGCCCAACTTGAGTTAGTGGGCTCAATGAGTCCTTGTTTCAGCAATTCTTGGCATTCTTCTTTGGTTGCTTGGTATTCACTTGGTGACATTCCAGGGTGACTAGCTTTGGTTGGATTGATATCTTCATTCATTTTGAAAGGAAGTTGAACAAAGAATTCTTTTCTTGTCCACAAAGGTTGTGGATGTTTGAAAAGATGATGAATATCAGCACATAGTTTCTTGAGTTGATTTCCAATATCTTCAAATCCTAGAGGGATTTCTGCTAGTGAGAACATATTTGAAAGTTTGCAAAAAGGTTTAAATTCTCTTCTATATTTCAATCCATGAGCAAGAATTTGTAACTTGGTGCTCTAGACTAAAACATCTCTGCCAACGGGAATATCCTTTCCATGAAGACTATCTCCAATAACTTTCATCCAAACTGTACAGTCTAGAAAGAGTTTAATTCTAATCTTGGAGGATGTGACTAAATCTTTCTGATAAGTTTTTCCATCTGCGGCTATAAATTTATGAACTTGAGTTGTCCATAATTTTGAGGGTAATATTGCAGGATTGAGCATTGTTCTGGATGCAACAGTATCAATGAATGTAATGACTTTGATAGGCACATGATATTTTGTTGGCACGATGAGTGCTTCAACATTTGGTAATAATGGAATTTCTTTTTCTTTTTGAAAACATACCTCTTCTGTTTCCAGTATTGGAAAATGATTGTACTCATCATCAATGTAGTCAGATTGTTCTGAGGAGCCATCAGTATCTCCTTCTGAATGTGTGATGCCAAAAACTCTTGATTTATCTGGACTCTCTTGTTCATCAAACAGAGATTCTACATTTTTATAAGCGATGTTATTTTCAGCACTATGATGATTTCCCTTGGAGAAAAAGAAACCACTGTTCCCATCTATACTTTTAAAACAGATGGAAGTTCCATTTATTCTGATAAAATAAATGGACACTTTATGTGGGATACAGCACCAGAGATGTGCGACCCTGACTGTGACTGTTGGATGGACTGGAATAATGATTCAGATAACAACTCAGATTTTGATGATTCTGATCCTAACAAAAAGGATAAATGTAAACCTCCACCACAGCATAGAAAGCCTCTTCCCAGAAGACAACCATGGGTGGCTTTTACAACACCTCCAAGGCCCTTACCAATTTACGATCAGGTTCTAGAAATTCTCAGAAAAGAGAAAAGAAAGTCTTCTCCGCCACCTCCTAAAGAACCCTCACTAATCACTTGGCCTCCTCCTGAAAAGTGTAATCCAAGTCAAAATCATTACAGTATAATTCCTCCTGTACAAAGAACAGAATTTTGCATGATGACTTCTCAAGAAGAATTTCCACCACTGGAGAGAAGATCTACTCCAACAACCAGAGTAGACGTTAAGCCCTTTGTGACAAAGACGGAAGTTACCACTGATGGAAGGATGAAAGCTCTTTCTCAAGCAGAGGAAGTTCTAAATTGACAGACAGAAAATGCTTTAGCCCAAAATACATGGCTAAAGGAAATAAATCAAAAGATAAAAAAGACGCATATATCTATGGATCAAGGCATCAAGCTTCTGTCTACCAAGTTACAGACCTAACATCAAGAATTAAAGACAAAGATTGGACGACTGGAGAAATAAATTTCAGAAGTCAAGGGAATCCATAAACTTAGTATGGATATTATCAACAAACAACGAAGCCTAGACAAAGCTAAAGAACAATATGAAGAGCTTGTTCGATTTGTTGAAGAAAAGAAACATCCTCCTATCTTAGAGAATGATCCATACTATATTAGACCAACAAGAATTTTCCCAAGAACTAGTTCAGGCCCAGCCATGTCTACTCCTCTGTTTCCACCAAAGAAGACACCAATTATCACTAATCCTTTTGATTTGAGTAGAGCAAAAAAAAGAAAGGCAAAATCTCCTAAAAAGACACCTCCACCAGAACCATCGTCAAAGAAAACTGAAGTAGAAACATCTTCATCAAAGAATTCCCCAGAATGTACAGAAGAATTTCCTATTCATTCATTAATGATAAACACAGAAGGAGATGATACAGAAAAAATTTCATATATAGAAGAAGAATCTGAGAAAAACTTCTCTATAACAGAAGACACTTCTTCAGAAAATTCTTTTGGGCCAACAGAGACTAGGGTTGAAGCAGACCTAAATTCTGAAGAGGATACTAGCCATATTCTTGGAACATTGATGGCAACCAAAACAGAAAGAGGTGGTTTGCATAGCAAAGAAAACAATACTTCTGCCCCAACAAGTTCTCCACTATTTTCTCTTGATCATATACCACCATCTCAATGGAGAAAGAAGTTCTTAGATTTCAAAGCATGGTTAGATGCAAAGATGGTTCATCCTGGTGCAGATCAATATAAAGTTATTGAAGAATTTTGTGCCAATATGACAAGTACCTTGAAAGAGTGGTACATGAGTTTGGGACAAGTAAATTAAGATAATCTCCATAGAACCTCCATTGATGAATTTATTGGAGGACTCCAATATCATTTTCTTGGAGAATCAACTCTCCTTGATCAAATTGCCCGAAGAGAATATTTTGAAATGAGATGTTTCTCTTTGGAAAAAGAAGATCTTGATCGACATTATCAAAGAATGTCCCACAGATTTTACTAGCTCAATGGTATGAATGATGTCAGTCTGAAAAATACATATGTCAGTTCCCTTCCAGAAGAATTACAAGAAGAGATGTCGAGAATATTGCAACAATCAAATAAAGATGTTCTCCAAATGACTATGGGAGAAATTTATCAGACCAGCATTGCTGCTTTGGACAAAATCTGCAACCAGCAGAGAATGTTCAAAAAGATGATTGACGAACAACCCAAGTACAAGCAAGTATGCAAGAAGGGATATTTACAAATCAAGTGCAAAGACTCCACTTGCCACTGCAAAAATAAATCCAGCAAGAAGAAGAAGTTTAAACCTTTCAAGAAAAAATGAAGGAAAATTTTCAAATTCTTCAAAAGAAAACCCTTCAGAGGAAAGGGTTCTAACAACAGATGTTTTATCTGTGGACGAAGAGGACACTTTTCAAAAAATTGTCCTAACAAGAAAAAAGCCACAAAGCTGATAAGCACACTCAAATTGGAAGATGAAGATGTAGAATCTCTGTTTGATGAACAAGAGAGTCCAGAATATTGATACTGGTGCATCCAGAACAATGCTCAATCCTGAAATATTACCCTCAAAATTATGGACAACTCAAGTTTATAAATTTATAGCCGCAGATGAAAAAACTTATCAGACAGATTTAGTCACATCCTCCAAGATTGGAATTAAACTCTTTCCAGACTGTACAGTTTGGATGAAAGTTATTGGAGATAGTCTTCATGGAAAGGATATTCTCATTCTATTTATAAAAATTAATATATATATATATACATTATTTCAGTAAATCTACTGGTTTTTGTTGCTGATTTTATTAAAATTTGGATTTTGGTATGTGTCCTAACTTATTATTTTGTCCTGTTCCCCACATATCTTTTCTAAACAGAGTTCACCGGAAACGTGAAGGTGAATTCAGAGTTCTAAACCATTCCTCTTCCAACTTCAGAAAAGAACGTAACATGTGAGTTTTCAGCCCTATAGTCCAATGTACACATGGCCAAATTTGCCAACCCCACTTTTAATTATGCTCACAAACCAACCTCCTGAATTGTCCACTTCATTGATCTACATGTTTCACTTTTAATATATATATATATATATATATAAATTAAAAAA